ATTAGACTTATAGTTACAAGATCCTTTAGTTGCCTATAACTTTTCCAGACATGAACCATTTAGATCATAGTTTTCCTAGTTGGTGCCTGCTACAGGCTGCTGGTTTAGGCCTTTTTGATATCCAGATGAGGAAAAAAATGGACAGAATTTGAAAGAGAGAATCTCTTGATCTTTTCTTTACACAGATGTGGCCCCATTATGCTTTAGAGACGTGAAACTTGAAATTTGATCGTGTCAGGAATATACCTTTTTCTATTCTCTTTAAAATCTACCTAAAATTGGCAAAGTTACAAGCCTCTGAAAAGTCATAACTCATACATGTTCAGCAAAGTGGTTGCTAGAGCTTCTCAGTTAAAATCTCCTCCCTAAAGGTACTTGAGCCTTTCAGCTTCTCGTGTTGACTAACCTGTGCAGGCACCGGATCCACAGAGCAAGAAGATATGCTCCAGCCCAGGGTTTCAGAAGGACAGTTGGACTTCCCTGAAATGGCTCATCTGGGCTGCGGGTTTGGGACTAGGCACTAGAATTGAGGAGGTGAAGGGAAACTGAAACTGGCAGGGCAAAGAGACGAGCACTGAGAACCAAAGGACAGGAAGAAGTACAGAGGATCTGTAAGAGTAGTTTTTACTGGGCAAGGAGATTGAGACTGGGATAAGAAACCTGAGAAGTGGAGACTTGGTAACTCATTATGTGAAGAGAATGAGATTAAGCTAAAGAGACAGAGAGAGAGAGGAGACCAAACAGGACAAACGTAGGTTGGGGAGATGTGACAAAAGGTGATCTTGGTGACCTTAGTGAAGCTGTGCCCACTAGAATATTCACTTCAGGATCTCATAATATATAACACTACGCCTGAGCCTCATCAGTCCTTTATTCTCAGCAAATATCTTTGAAGCTCGCTGATAAAGTGTTTCATTCCCTTTTAACAGCTTCCTTCTTTCAGTTATTCTCTTAGCTCAAGTAGCAGTGGTGAAAACTCCACTCCTGATCCATGAGTGATGCCACATTAATCTTTTTTTCAGTTTGATTTTTAAAAAAGTCAAGTGCCAGATTAATATTGTCCCTGTAACCCTAATTGGTCCTCTTTGTGCCTTATGGTACAGTCTCTATTATAGAAAAAAACCCCAGAATCATATAGGACACAAGCCTCATGTGGTGCTCAAGAATGACAGTGCTCACTTAATTAGCAGCTATTCAGTATTTTGTGTTTTCCCCATTGTTCAGTGTGAGGCCCCACAGTTTATTCACTGTGCACTATTCCTGTGATACTCATTGCTATAACATGTAAATACTTCACAAACATTAATGAGCGTATTTTCACAGCAGCTCTGTTGGCAGAGGGGTGGTGTTATGTCTGTTTTACAAATGAGGAACTGAGGAGTAGAGATTAGAGTGGCAAATACCTGCTAATTTGGGATGCCCAGCTTGAGACATCCAGGGTATTTAAGTATATAAACTGCTATTGAACACTGAAGTACAGCTTTTAGAATAACTGTTGCATGTGTGAGTGCTTACAGTTCTTTAAGTCAGAATCTAGGGTCTTGGATTTGGTATCTGTGAAACAAAGGAAGTACAATTAGTGTCCACCTTCGAGAAAGTTGGTGTAAATGACTTTCCAGGCATCACAGAGGAACTCTGCCAGGACCCAGGGGTTGAAACCAGTTCTCCAAGGCATGGTTCAGCCATCCTGATCATGAGATCATCCTCTCTCTCTGCATTCCCTGTTAATAGCTGAACAAATGAGGCAGGAGTCCTACAGAAAACCAGTTTTCTTCATTAAATAAGAGCCTTAATTTATTCCCAAAGTAAGTTGCAACTAATAATGTATATTCATGTAATTAAAGAGTGCATTATAATTTGTACCCATAAGGAAATTGAATTGTTTGCCCAGATACTTTTAATTCTAGCATTTCCTAACTTTTGAGTTCTTGACTTTGCAACACTAATATCAATCTTTTATCAGAAACTTTTAGCCTATAATATATTGAACCGTAATGAAAACATTTGAAGAGATTAGAGTGACACCTAGAGGTAGAAAATGCATCACTTATTCTTGGGTTTTTTTAATCTCTCTTTGCACTGACATTTCTTCTAGCGAAAAGGTCTTCTAGTTGCCTGCTTATGTCATGACCTGGATCACAGGGGTTACAGCAACAGCTACCTTCAGAAATTTGATCATCCCCTGGCAGCTCTTTATTCCACCTCAACTATGGAACAGCACCACTTCTCCCAGACAGTGTCCATCCTGCAGGTAGGATTACTAAAAGTATACCCTCAATGCACTGTGTTTCAATAATTGAAGTAGCTGCAGCATTTGTCAGTAGAGGTCTTTTTTTCCTGAAGCATGTTTAATTTTATTACTGGTTTTGGGGTGTTTGCCTAGAAAATAAAAGTTTGGGAGACGGCTTTACCATGGTTTATTACAGCAAATCTGTGTTCCAGTATTGTCAGCTCCAGGTGTTCAGAAGTCATGAGTGAGACACTAAAAACAGTCTGATTGACACAAAACTTCTGGAATGTTTAAACTACCATAAATTTGAGGTTCTTTTAAATTCCAGGCTTGTATCTGACCCTGCGTAATACATGTGGATCATGTTTTGAGGCTTTTCTTCTAGAATCATGTCTAGAAATGTACTTTTTTTCAAAAATAAAAATTGAGATTTTTGCACAGGTATGTTTCCCTCAGAATAAGCTAAAAAAAGTCATTATGTATCACAAGAATTGGAAAAGAAGTATAAAATTCAGAAATGTAATAATCTGCTGTAATAAATCCACTAAAGCATTGAATGCATGGCATGAGATGTGTATAAGTACTTAAACTAGGACAAAATAATATTTTGGCATGCAAAGAAAAGAGTCTTATAGTTTTTCTATGCTTGCTGTTCTTCAGTTATTGTTAATGTTTTATTTATTTAATTTTGTGTGCCAGTAGGCCCATTACGTAAAGTAATGTCTCTATATGTCTAATTAATACAAACCATCAGAGAGTGTGCTAACCCTTTTCAGGAAACTTAATTATAGTGACAACCACAGGTATTTTGTCTTTAGTCAAAAATCACGTCAAATTAGTAGTAGAGAAAATGGTTGCCGGTCCATAATTTTTTAATTTTTTTTTGTGCTCACTGCTTTTGTTTCCATGCACATTCCCTGTATACTTCCTTCTCATTCAGCTGTGTGTCTAATTCATTATTAACATGTCTTTCTTTCTGGTCTTTCAGGGGGAAGATACTTATTTTCTTAAATAGTTTATCAGGAGTTAGTAAATACACACATAATCTGTATCATGGTCAGAACTGTCTCTTGAGATTATTTTAGGAAGAGCATATGTTTTACCAGAGAGGCTAGAACTCTATATGTTCACTCATTTACATATAAATGAGTCCTTGAGTGTAGACATGGCATTTGATTTTTCATATTCATTGTTCAAAGGAGTTTGTACATGGTGAACAGGATCCTCAGACCTATCAAGACATTTTTGTGCCACTCTGGAAGTGCAAAGCAAATTTAAACCAGACAGTAATGGCTGTTCTGATAGAATCCTGGGAGAGTCAGTGGGCGCGTATACACATGCCCCCCATGGCACAGTTGTTATTTAGTACTTTATTTAGGATGGGGCGGGCCGGTGGCTGGACTCCATTTCCCAGCAGCCCCTGCCTGTGTGGCTGGGGCCAGTTTCCATGGAGACCGGCCCCAGCAGTGCTGAGAGGGCACACAGCAGAGCATGGAGCTACTCCGGAGCTGGGCTGGGATCTTGCAGCAGGGATGGCGTGGTCCAGAGCCAGGGCAGAGCTGCAATTTGCAGCCTGCATGCCCCGGGCAGGAATGTGCAGGCAGCAGATCGTGGCTCTGCCCTGGCTCCTTGCAGTGGTGACAACATGTTCTGGAGCTGGGGCAGAGCCGCAATCCACTGCCTGCATGCCCTTGCCCGGGGCATGCAGGCTACAGATCATGGCTTTGCCCTGGCTCTGGACCATGCTGTTACCATGCAAGATCCCAGCCTAGTTCCAGAGCAGCTTCCTGCCCTGCTGTGTACCCTGCCAGCAGGGGTAGTGCTGGAGGTTTGGGGGGGGGGCGGGGCAGGGGGGGGGGGTACAGCCACCCCAGAAAT